CCACTGTGACACTATTGGATTCGGACCATGCCAAGTGAGATATACTACATAAGCTCTCTGTAGCTATCTGTATTTGAAATTCTGAGCATTCGCTCTGTACTTGTATTGCAAGTGTTGGCTTCTGGGAGACCTCAGCAGGAGGCTTGGACAGTCCAGGGATGCCAAATCCCATTTAATCAGTTAACGGAGTAGAATTGTAACTGGTTAATTGCTTCAACGGGGGGCAGGGCTGGAGCAGCCCCTCTGTTGCAGGCTAGGACTGCTTCAGCCTGGCTGGGGCTCCCTTCATCCATGGCAGGTGGGTGTACTGGAGTAGCCCCACTGCCTCAGTTGGGCAGAGGCTGCTCCCGCCAAGCCGGGCCACGGGTTAACCTCTGACATCCCCAGACAGCCAAGTGTGAAAGGGCAGCTTGTCAAGTACTTCATTGACATTCCTCCACAACTGGGGCCAATCCATAGCTGATGAGCTTTGCTGTGAACGTTCAGACCACCATGGAAGCTATAGCTGCTGCCAAATCACCCCTGGACAGGTGACAGGCTCACCTGATAAACTGTCTGGGGCTGAGTTTCACACTGTGGCTACGTCTAGACTGGCATGATTTTCTGCAAATGCTTTTAACGGAAAAGTTAAAAGCATTTGCGGAAAAGAGCGTCTAGATTGGCACGGACACTTTTCTGCAAAAAGGCCAATCTAGATCGCCATTTTCGCACAAAACACATCTGAGCTGTCTACACTGGCCCTTTTGCACAAAAGCTTTGCGCAAGAGGACTTTTGCCCGAACGGGAGCAGCATAGTATTTCCACAAGAAGCACTGATTTCTTACATGAGATCGTCAGTGTTCTTGTAGAAATTCAAGCGGACAGTGTAGACAGCTGGCAAGTTTTTCCGTAAAAGCAACTGCTTTTGCGTAAAAACTTGCCAGTCTAGACACAGCCTCTGAGAACGGGATTCCCTCCACATGAGCAAGTATGTAAAGATGGCCCTGAGGATTCCTCCATCCTTGTCTTTTTTTCAGCTCTGCACTTCTGAAGCAGCTTTGCTATGAACTGAGCCCAGAAGGACCTCCTAACAGAGAACTCTCTCCAGAGAGTTATAGGACAGCAGATTACTCCACCTCAGCTCCAAGCCTGCCCCAGGCACTTTGCGGCTGGTGTTTGTGATTCAATTCCTTTCACATTTTTACATTCAAGCTGTACTTTCTTTTTTTCTTTCAATTAATAAACCTTTAGATTTTAGATTCTAAAACACAAGCCTCATGCTCTCTCTGAGGTAAGATCTGCGCTATAAACTGACCTGGGACTGGTCCTTTGGGATCAAGAGAATTTGTTCAAAATGGGTGAGATCTGTCTGTGTAAGACAGATGTGATGGCACAGGAAAGCCGAAGTATCAAAGGGAAGTGTTTGTATAACTTCTCGTTATCCAGCGTGGGAAAGAGAAGTGCTCTGTGTGGCTGGTTTGTGCGCCTCATAGTGGAGAGCCCCCAGTCTTGGGCTGTAAGTAGCCCTGTCTCTATTCAACTTGCTTCAATTTGACCCTCTCAGCAGTGCTCCCAGAAACCTCCTGTATCACACTGACCTCCCCGCACAGCCTGACCCAGCTCCTCCCAACTCACGAGCCGGCCCAGCCCTCGCAATGTTCCCTGCAGTCCCTACCCCAACCCAGCATCCACCTAAACTCTCCAACCCAGCGAGACCCAGCTCCCTCCTGCAGCCCCCAAAGCCTTCCCGTGCCCTTCCCCTCCGAACCATTCGTTGGTGCTGAGGGCCGGGTGGGCGGATGGGCGAGGGGTGGTAGTGGCTGCGGGCTGGGCTCTGCACGGCAAAGGGGCTCCCCTGGATGGAGAACAGAGACGCGCTGCAGGCAAAAGGGGAATTAGCAGGCTCTGCACGGCAAAGGGGCTCCCCTGGATGGAGAACAGAGACGCGCTGCAGGCAAAAGGGGAATTAGCAGGGCTCAGACTCCCCAGCACTCCCAGACCAGACAGCATTGCCCCGTGCTCCTCCTCCCCACTCCAATCACTGCGCCCCGCCC